CATTTTCTTATGATTTGTTATAAGATTTATAATATAAAAATTGATTTTCCGAAGATCTTTTTTTTTGTCATTTTCGGTCCTTTCTCCAGCACCTAGCCCATATATTCATTGGATACGATATTCGTCAATCTCATCAATCGGGCCTCCGACTACCCACAAAAGTCGGGCTAGAGCCTCGATTGTTAGGCCCTAGAAAAGTGTAAGGACTCGAAAGTTGTGCCTTTATACCTGTATACAACGGGTATGGTACTTCCACTACCGGCCCATCAACTTGTAAAAAAGGCGTGATCATTCCATTCCAGATCTCACAATAAAGAAGAAAATTATCAGATCGTAAGATAGAGAAATCTTTTTTTTTAAAAAAAAAAAAAAAACGCTTGCAGTCACTTGTAGTTACTTGTAATCAGGATTAGCTATGAATCCCTCAACGCGGCTTATCCACTGAGTCCATTCAGATCTCCATTGGCTTTCTTTCTCAGTGGAAAACATAATTGTGGTTAAATGCGTGTTTATGATTAAATGCGTGTTTATGATTAAATACGTGTTTGTTGTTGCTTCACACTAGCCCTACCTAATGTTAACCTTGACTACATATAAACTACGTAACGCGTCATTGATTCACGTTACACCTGATCTTAAAAGTGCGCCACAACATACCTCGTGCAAAATTTACATATTTTTTTTACATATTATATTTGTTTATATTATATTTGGTTCACATAACGCCCATGCATATCTTTTTGAAATAACGCGCGCTTTGTATAAATCATTTTTGTGATAAATAATTACTGTTTATGATATGATAACGGTCAATGCCGATTCGGATCTTTTAGATCATTGTATAACCGAAATAATGGGAATTTGCGTTATTTTGAAAATCACATCTTAAATAGCATTACTTTATTTTAAAATAACTCCATACACGTCCCTAAATAACGCGTACATAACCTACTATTTATAGTTTATATGCTAATAAACGATTATATTGTTAATGTCATCTATTCATGTTGATAGTGATATTAATATTAAAGTTGATCTATATGAGGAAATTTAATATATATAAATTCATTTTATGGTTTAGGTTGATATTAACGTGGCTGATATTAACATACTTTTAAATTAATATCTTTCGATTTCATCTTTAATTTTTCATACATATTTTATTTTTAGAACTATATACTTAGAATAAAATAAATAAAAAGATCTTTATTTAAAAAAAAATTATTGATAAAAAAATAAAAAAAGTATTTCAATATTTTCAAATTTTCAAATTAGAAAAGAAAGGTATTCCTTTAAACTACTTCAGTCATACTATAAGAATCTTTAATCTTAGCATTTTCGATATTTTTATCCACTGTTTTTACAGTATCTTTAGTCACTGAATTTTCAGTCTCCTCAGAAGTATCTTCTGATTGATCTATGGTATTATCAGCTTCAGCTTTAGGTGGTGGTTTGGGAAATTCAAATTCTCTTCCTTGAACCTTTGCCAAAATAAACATTACAAACAATCTAACTCCAAATGCCAAAAATGTAAACACAACAGATCCAATTGGTGCGACAATAAATGCTCCTAATACTGAATAATCATCGGTGTAAAGGCCATTCGATAAGATAAGTAATTGATAGACATGACATTGTAGATTTTAGAAATGTAGATGCAGTTATTCTTAAGGCATAAAAGAAACCCCTTTTTTGTTATAAATATAGATTTTAAGGATATATTTTATAGTTTAATTTCGATATTAAAGAAACAAAATTACAAATAAACACATTATCATGAAAGTATCAATAACAGTAACGGTAATGATATTAAGTAAACTCAATTCCTGGATGATACATATGAAATATATCAAAAACGATCCGTATATCACGGCTTTTTTGTTAAAAAAAAGATGAATCCTTATACGTCCTTGTACATACGTATAAACTATTACTATTATACTCTAATTTTGACCTAACCATAATCTTAAGTCTTTATCGTATTTACATTACATTGATAATAGTGCAGCGATATGTAATAATCTTTAAAGATTATGCTTTAGATTAGATTAGATACCAATAGTTGTATTAGCTGTATATTAAAATTAATTAAGATTAGTTAAGATTAGTTAAGATTAGTTAAGATTAGTTAAGATTAGTTAAGATTAGTTAAGATCGATGGTATTTTTACGTATATACAGAATGTAGTCATAGTGAATCATTAAATGTACTGTACGTACGTACGTACGTACGTACGTACAGTTATGGGTTTTTCACATTGCAAACTCTCATATAGTTAAAAAAAAAAAAAAAAAATCAAAATTTCTATTTTATTTTGTTCGATGCAATATATAAGGTTTGAAAGCATATCTAAGCCTGGTTAAAATTAGACTAAATTTAATAAAGCTTTTTTTACGATTTTTTTTTTTAAATATATACTATATATATATATAGGTCAATAAATAAAATTTTCTTGCTTTTTTTTTTCTTAAAAATTTACTATATAAAAAGTTATTAAAAAGACTAGAAAGGCATTGTGTTACTATTTATTACCAAAGTATTACATATCAAGTATTATAACAAGTATTATCAAGTATTTACCAAGGAGCTATTTGCTGTATTGCCATGGGAAATATTTAGAAATGTAGAAAATCATATCGATAGCTGATAGCGATAGATAAATCATACGTATATACGTAAATCTGTATATAAAGTTATAAATATTTATAAATAATAAAAACTTTTTATCGCATTACATTTCGATTACTTTTATCTTTTGCCATGTGAGCACTTTTATCGGGAATCGTTCCGTTGAGTTCTTATTGTGAATTGCAGATGTAGGTAAATAATAAATAATTCAACATATGCATGCATGTGCACAGAAACTATGTGTATGCGCATCTATTCGGTAAAGCCTAGTTGGTCAAAAGACAACAGTATGGGGCCCATTTCGATTGGAAATTGACAATCCCTTACTCTTATCCTCGTATTATAAATGCAGCAAATTGTGATTGGTCAAATTCATATATATATATATATATATATTGAGATATGTATATATGATATCGATATGTGTATGTGTATGTATATGTATATGTTATGTATATGTATATATGTATATGTATATGTATATATGTATATGTATATGTACGTATATATGTATATGTATATGTACGTATATATGTATATGTGTATATGTATATATGTATATATATATTTACGTACATACGTACGTATGTACGTACGTAAATATCCTAGTTATCGGTATAAAGTTCTGATTATGCGTAACGTGGTGTAATATTTCACATTTTTTTTCTGGGGGCATTATTGTGCTATCGTTATTATCATTAATTGTTACGATCAACGTGATCAGATGACCAATAAAATAATTTTAGTAATTATACGCGAACTCTAAAAAAATTGATATTGAAAAAATTGGAGGATTAAAAATATATCCCTTGCTGAATGTGCATTTTAAACGAGAATATAAATTTTTAAAGTTAGTTTTAAATCTCGAGTCATAATGATGATCATATAAATACGTGAAGAATATTCATGTCTCGAATCATAATAATAATAATAATACGTAATAATAACTGATAATATAATAATAACTGATAATAATAACTGATAATAACTGATAATATAATAATAACTGATAATAATAACTGATAATAACTGATAATGTAATAAGAATAATAAATATTGTAATATTGTTAGAGAAAAGTTTATTTTGACCAACTTCTTGGCAAGTTTCAATCGCGAATAAGCACGTGAATACAAACCAAGTAAAGAAAGGAAAGTAATGCAAAAGATAATATTGGAAATATAAGGAAAAACTTGGAAATTAACATTTTTTTTGGGGAAGAATTGGTTAGTAAGAGACATAAAGGTTTGATAAGACTAAACTAGATTCGTAAATTTCTTTGTTATATAATATTGTGATATTAAAACCAAATCCGAGACAATGAGACAAATTATTTGTTACTATTATTTAAGCTTATAATATATACGGATGTAAGTGAGACATTTTTTTAATTATAATTGGGTTGTAAAATAGTTGATTGTCACAATGGTAGTACTTTGATATATATGCAGGTTTCTTTGTCTTTAAAAATGTAAAATGCCTAAAAAATATGATAATGAATAATCTAAAGCTGATTAAAACTGATATTAGGATATACAGGATATACGTAGTACTGTAATATAATAACACAATACCATAAAAAAAAAATACTATAAAAATACTATAAAAAAAAAAAAAAACACGTACGTAAGTACGTACGTTAATACTATTAAAGGTATTTCATTTACATATTTAACGTCTCACTTGAAAAATAAAAGAAAGTCGTTTCTTATTTTGGTTACACTAACGGTACGCGATAGTAAAGTTCCAAAAGTTCTGAAGTTACAATGCTGTTTTGTGGTGAACGGAAGACGCATATGGAATATCATCACCAGCCCTATTGCATTATTTAAAATTTTATGCGATATAGATATGCTGGGAATAATCGCGTTTCATTCTTATACATTCTTATATCACGAACTGTGATGATCACTTGTTATTAAACCATGAATAAAACTCGTTTTAATTATCGTTATATGACTAATTAAGTTAAATTATTTTATACGTACGTATCTATTTTATTATTTACTGTATTATTGTATATTTATATATCATAATACCCGGGTATCATACAGTCATATATCATTTTTACATCACGTGAGAGTGAATCCGCAATAACTTTTTAATCACGTAAACAAGTCGCGAAAAAAACATTACGTAATGCGCAATTTTTTATTAAGTATATTTCTATATTAACAGTTAATGAATAACGTTAAAATATTAATTAATAAATATAATAAATATAATGAATATTAAAAAATTAAAAATATTAAAAATAAAAATATCAAAAATATTAAAAATATCGTGTTTTCTATATATTAGATACGTTATTTATATATTTCATTTATTATATCAGATAATATTATATAATATTATTTACATATTCGTTACATATTCGTTACATATTCGTTACATATTCGTTACATATTCGTTACATATTCATTTACATATTCATTTACATGGAAAAATTTAAAGTCAAAAAATTTTAAAATTATCACATGCGTTTTATAGGAAAAAAATCTCTTTAATCTATTTATATATATATAATTTTTTTTTTTTTAAAACAAATTACTTTACAAAAATAGAAACCATTTTTTTTTATGAATGTTTTTTTCTTTTTTTTCTTTTTTTTATGCAATAATAAAGGTGTACAATAAAAATTAAGCAGATATAAAACCCAGAAATAAGATAGAAATAAGATAGAAATAAGATAGAAACAATAGAAACAAAAGATAGAAATATCATATAAGAGAAATAAAACAGCAAATAAAACCAGCAAATAAAACCGAAATAAACCAGCAATAAAACCGAACTAAAATAGAACTAAATATAACTAATATAGAAATAAAGTAGAAATAAAAATAAAATACTTTTTTTGTGTCAAGAAGAAGGTAACCATAAATCGAAAATGTCCTTTAAACATTCAACCTCATCAAGAAATTCCGCTCCTTGAAAATGTTTTAAAACTCCTTCATCTCGATAAATATTTATCAAATGTCTATGTTCATCGGATAAAGTAATTTTTGGTGATATAAATAATGATAATCGTGGTTTTTTTCTCCAGGATTCAAGAAAATTTGCAAGATGATCTGGTGTTAAAATCCAATCTCCATCAATATCTAAAACGTTTAATCCTTTTGGTGCATTTTTATTTAAAATTTGTAATAATCTTGTTATAGATTGTGGAATTCCATCCAAAGGAAATGAACAAACTTTAAGTGCTTGTAAATTTGAACATGTTTTTAAAAATTTTTCAAATTCTCGATCTACTTCTTCTGTCCACCAAACTGTTGCAAATGTAAGATTGGAAAATGCATTATGTGTTAGAATATTAAGGTATGCTCGAATATCCTCTGAATCTTTTGGTGGACAATCTGTATTCCAATATATTCGTTTAAGTGATCCTTTAGTATTTTGAATTAACATGGTAAAAATATCGAATGGTGTATGTTCATCCCAAAATATATCAAGTACTTCAAGTTTTGGAAATGTTGATGATGCAAATTGTTGAATATTAGTAATATGTCCTGACATAAAAAGTTTTAAAGTTTTTAAATTAGATAATGATGCAAGTGTTGATGGATGAATACATAAAAATCCTTGAAAATGAACATAAATCAATGAATGTGCTTGTGACATAATAGCTTTTCCTATTAATGTACATTCAACAGCTCGAACTTCTGGTGCATGTATCTCTAAATATTTTAAATTTGATTGAAATTCAATAAGTGCTGCTAGACCTGCATTATCATCAATACAAGGATCTACTATTATTCCTTGTATACTTCTACAAATTTGTGCCAATCCATAAAAAAGATCAACTGGTTGATCTGAACGACAAACAAGTTCCCGAAGTTTTTGTAAACATAAACCAAATCCTGGACAATATGAAAGAGGAATCTTTGGTAAAACTAAATGTCGTAATGAAGATCTTGACATGAAAAGTTTATAAAGTTCTTGTTCAACTAGTTGATCTCGAAAAGGTCGATAAAGATCTCCACGTTGTTCATTAAAAGTTCTCTCATGTGTTAATTGATCAATAATTTCTGGTGATAAATGTTGACAATAACGTACATAATCGAGCATTGCTGATGTACATCCTTGTAAAAGTAAATCTAAACCGTTTTTCCTAAGTAAATCTTTTGTTTCAAATGAAAAACATGCATAAACCGCTTTGATAATTAAAGGCCAAAAAGTTTCATCAACGTCATCTTTAAAAGGTTTTTCATATTTCCAAGGATTAGTCCATAAAATGGGAACAGCAACGGATGCCCATTGTTTATTTACTAATAAACAAGAATATAAGGAACATGCATTTTCTACGAAATATCTAAAAATTTGATCGAGACAATCCTCTGGGAGTTTTTTAACCATTCTGATATTTAAGTGCAAGAATGATTCGATGGTCAACAAACATGAATAAGAACGAGCCTTAAATAGGAGATTAAACAAGAAGAAAAAATGATGATTAATGGTGATTAATGGTGATTAAAAATAGGAGATTAAAATAGGAGATTATAATAGGAGATTAAAATAGGAGATTAAAATGAAAGATTAAATAGTAATAATAGATGGGGGAAATGGAGATAAAAAAAAACATGAATTCCCTATTATTCAATTAATTCTCAATTAATTCAATTAATTTCAATTAATTCAAATTAATTCAATTACTTCGTATTAAAGTAATTCAGAATGGATGGCCAACACTCCGTTTTTTTTTGTCGTTTTTTTTTTATAATCGTTACTAAAAAGTGTTGTTAGAGTTGTGAGAGATCTCAAAAGGAAAAATTATGGTTATATATAAAAATATATCAGAATTCTTTAAAAAGTTTCGCGTTGATGATGATGATGATGATGAGATAGAAAATCATGCAACATCCGAATACCTAATAAAATAAAACAAAAGAAATGACATTGATTGTTTGTTTTATAACAAAAAGAGAAAAGAAATTCTTACCAATTGAATCAAATTTCAAAGAGAAGAAGGAAAGGATTTATCATAAATCCTGGTCTAGCAGATTAAAAAGTAAAGATGAGCGAGATAAGTGTAAAAGAAAAAAATAAATTTAAAATGAAACAGTTATATATATAAATTTTATAATATATATACGTATATATATATACAATGTACATATTTTCATATACAACACACACATATATATATATATAATAACAATAAATAACTGAATTAAATATATATATATCAGATATATATTGAATTGATATCAATATCGGTATTGGCTGCAATGATGTACGTAATGCGTCTGTCAGTTTTGATAAAACAGGATTATAAATACCTTGATAAGGGATGTCGGTATTTATGTATGCTTATATAATACCAATTAACAAAATGACAACAAATTGTCAGCAGGATTGGCTGTCATAAACCTTATACGTATATATTATCATAAAAGGTGATTACCTCGAGGAAACATCAAGATCGGCTGTTGGTTTCCCAGGCACGCGAATTAAAATACTTATGTACGTACGTACGTACTTATGTTACTTATTTACGTTTGCAGTAGGAGCGATCACAACAATAATGAACTTTTTTAAATTTCCCGAAAACTGGTAAATTTATTAGTATAAATTAGAATAAAATAGATTTAAAGTTATAAAAAAATGAAAAGAATATAACATTAAAAATGATTGTTTAAGTGATCATTTAAATGATCGTTTTAATGATTATTACAGATTTTTAATAGATTAAAATGGAACAAAGCTTCTAGTAGCAATTTTTAATACCAATAACAATAGTGTTAAAGAAGCTTCTGTATTACGTGAGACACAGATACACTCCCTACAGAAGTACGATAACAATTGACATACATTCCATACATTATAATGTAATGTCATCGTGTTATACTAGCGTTATACTAGCGTAATATAACGTTATACTAACGTTATACTAACGTTATACTAACGTTATACTAACGTTATACTAACGTTATACTAACGTTATATTAGTGTTGTACTAAGTGCGTTATACCGTTATATATGTTATATATACTGTTATATATACTGTTATACCTTTATACCTTGTGTCATTCAGGTACAAGTTATAAATTCACATGCATTGATACTTTTTGATACGATAGCGATAAAAAATAAATCATGCTGTACCCTTTTTGTTATGAATAAAGTCATGGGATTTTAATTTTCTGACCCATCCACGAGGTATTTGATAGATTTCGCCCAATTTTATATAATTGATATAATTTTAAATTTTTATTCTATTTTTATTCTATTTTTATCTATTTTATGCACATAAATGACATCTATTTTTTTTTTGCTAACAGTTTAAAATTTTCCTTTGTACTAAAATTTCATTTTGCCACTAAATCTCATCTTGGTACAGTACTAAATTTCACCATTTGACCATTTGCGTTTAGGTACTAAATCTAAATTACGCTTTGGCATTCGTGTGTATACTTAAGTAATGTCAAGTTACTAAGTTAGTTAAAGAATGTCGGAATCTTGTTTTCCCCCCTTTTTTATATTAAAATCTCTATGTTACTTCTATGCTTCCTCCATTCCTCGGTTTTTTGAATTGACTCAGGCCTAGACCTTGTTCTCACGATTTACAAGTATTTTCTCAAGCAGGCAAGATCTTGTATACAAAGTGTGTTTGTATATCTCTTTTTTTTGCTTTTGGTAAAAAAAACAACGATTACATGTGATTCATTAAGGTTTTTTTGTCGTTCAATTGTTTAACATATTTGTGCTTTTTTTTCTAACACCAGCTTTTTACAACGTTCGATTTCAAATGTATCACTGCACGGATTATCATAATTCTCGCATATTAATATTTGTTGATGAATGATTTTTTGTGTTATTACAATCTTGTGAAGAATTTCTTTATGGTTTATGAATAATTCGCAACTATCATTATATCTTCGTGGAATACTATTTAACGAATCTAGAAAGATCTTTTAAAATTCGCCTCCTTTGGTTACATGTATCGGTACGTATTGTTAATCGTTTATATGAAAATGGTAATTATGGTGACATTAGTGCCACCGATTTTTATAATGAATAAAGTAATTTCAAAATTTTCTACATATTATCAAATTATCAATTATCAATATCTGGAAATTAAAATAGAATATCCATAAATCGGTTTTATTGCTGGTTTATTTCGGTTTTATTTGCTGGTTTTATTTGCTGTTTTATTTCTCTTTTATGAATGTTTTTTTCTTTTTTTTCTTTTTTTTATGCAATAATAAAGGTGTACAATAAAAATTAAGCAGATATAAAACCCAGAAATAAGATAGAAATAAGATAGAAATAAGATAGAAACAATAGAAACAAAAGATAGAAATATCATATAAGAGAAAAAAAGTATTTTATTTTTATTTCTACTTTATTTCTATATTAGTTATATTTAGTTCTATTTTAGTTCGGTTTTATT